GGCTTGGGCGAAAATTTTATGAGGAGGACCCCTTGGGCAATTGAAGCAATGTCAAAAATACACTTTGGGGACCTGATCAAACTTAAAAGTTTCTGCTCAGCCAAGAACACAGTAAATAAAGCAGGTTGGCAGCCCTCAGAATGGGAGAAGATATTTGCTGGTTATGTCTCCAACAAAGGTTTAATAACCAGAATCCACAGAGAACTAAATGTATTAGCAAGAAAAAAACAAGCAATCCCATCTCAGGGTGGGCAAGGGACTTGAAATTTCTCTAAAGAAGACAGGCTCATGGCATACAGATATATGAAAAAATGCTCTCCATCCTTAATCAGAGAAATGCAAATCAAAACTACTTTGAGGTACCACCTAACCCCAGTAAGATTAGCCCATATCACAAAATCCCAAAATCAGAGATGTTGGCGTGGATGTGGAGAAAGGGGAATACTTCTACACTGCTGGTGGGAAGGCAAATTAATTTGTTCCTTTTGGAAAGACATCGGAAGAACACTGAGAGAACTAAAAATCAGCCTGCCATTTGATCCTGTAATTCCTTTATTAGGTATATATCCAGAAGACCAAAAATCAAATTGCAACAAAGATATTTGTATCAGAATGTTTATTGCAGCCCAATTCATAATTGCTAGGTCATGGAGAAGCCCAAATGCCCATCAACCCATGAATGGATCAATAAATTGTGGTACATGTACACCATGGAATGCTATGTAGCCCTAAAGAAAGATGGAGACTTTGCCTCCTTCATGTTTATACGGATGGAATTGGAAAATGTTCTTCTTAGCAAAGTATCTCAAGAATGGAAGAAAAAGTATCCAATGTACACAGCCCTACTTTGAAACTAATTCTTAGCTTTTATATGAATGCCATAACCTAATTATAGCCTTAGAATATGGGAAGGGGGTGGGAGGGGGAGGTGGGGGGGTGAATGGGGGGAGTGTGGGTGATTGGTGGGGTCACCTCTATGGTTTATCTTACAAGGGCACAAGTGAATCTTTCTAAAAGCAGAGTATGAACATTTTAACTCAATAACGAAGAAAATGACATGAAGGTTATGTTAACCAGTTTGATGAGAGTATTTCAAAATGTATATGAAAACAGCACACTGTACCCCATGATTGCATTAATGTACGCAGTTATGCTAAAAGAAATGGAAAAAAAAGATCAAAAGTAAATATCAAGGACATTCAGCAGGGCTCAGAAAGCTAGTGTGAATTCAGATCTGAGATGGATTATGGCAAGAGGTTCAGACAATAAACTACTGCTAGTTACTACTGTGACAAAGGCCAGCTTTCTGTTTTTGTTCTCTACATCACTCAGGTAAGGGAGGTATAAGACTCACTTCTTTCTAGAAGATGATTTAATTACAAGACCTGGCCTTTATCACCTGCACTGTTGTCACACTGACCAGTAACAGCAATTGCTACTGCTGCTGCTATTCTGAGTACTGGCTTCATGCCTAGAATTTTACTAAGTGTTTCACATATCATTTCACTCACTCCTTTTGGCAACCAGGAGGTGATATGTAGTCTCTATGGAAGTTTTCAGTCAGACCATGGTCTATTATTTCACTTCCAAGAAACATGGTCAACAGCATCCTTTATGTTTCACTTGTGCAAGTTTCAGCTTGCTGGGCTGATCAGTGTTGCTGGGAGGCCTTCATTTGTTTCCTTCATTTGTGTACCTCAAACCTTTACCACATACCATTGTTTCCATTTTATATATGAGGCAGTAAGGAGAGGGAGTGTGACCTGCTCAAGGATTCCAGTTCATAATTGGAGGAGCCAGATTCAAACTCAATGCCCAGCTTTCAAGTTGTTACCTGTATCAGTTTCCTAAGGATTCCACAATAAATTAGCATTAGACAATAAAATGTTTTGTCTCCTGGTTTCTGGTGTTAAAAGTCCCCAGAAAGGGTTGAGGAAAGCCTCTATTCTTACCTCTTCCTAGCTCCTGGTAATTCTCAGCATTTATTATCATTTCTTGACTTTATGTATCACTCTAATCTCTGCCTTCTTCCCCATGAATATCTCTGTAGGTCCTCGCCTCTTTTTGTGAATAACACTAGTTGTTGGATTTAGGGTCTGCCCTAATCCATATGACCTAGTTTTAAATAAACTACATCTGCAAAACTCCTGTCTCCAATAAGGTCACATTCTGAGGTTCTGGATGACACGAACTTTGGGAAAGACATCATTTAACTCACTGCCATTTCTTTGTAGATGGCTAGATATATTGTGGACCATCAGTAATTATAATGGGCCAGTAATAATTATAATTATTATTATTGAAGGGCTATCTGTAATGTATTTCATTATGAACTGTTATTAGCTGCTAAACAATAACAGCAGCATGAGAACTCTGAATCCTTTAGTTACCCCTACTGTGTTTGTATTGTGACCATCATTCATTCTCTTGTTTATAGGTATGAGGCTACTTTCTCCAGGAAATAGCTTTCCAGGGTGGGTCTGGGTACAGCCAGTGTGCCAATTTATGCCTCAATTTCAAAGTCCTGAGAAAACTTCCAAAGTCGAGGACTACAAGGTTAATACTGCATTTGATTTACTTCAAGGAGAGATTTCCATCTTTAATAAAAAATAAAGGCTCATATGTGATCAAGAAGAAAAAAAGGCAACAAATAGGTCTAGTCAGTTTTAGCTTTGGGGTCAGATCAAACAAGATAACTCCAATAAATGTGAGAATCATGTGCTTACACCCCATCTATACAGGTGCTGTAGGAAAATATCAGTGCTGTATGGTTCTTTCAAGTGATGTTTACTATAATGTCAGGACATGAATTTGGAGGACATAGAGTGACAATCTGCTTTTGAACAAAGATGAAGGAAGAGAATAAAGCCACCCAACACAATATTAAACAGAAAACAACCACTGCTTCCCCTAACTCTCCTCATCGCCCTTGTTTCTCTCAGAGTCAACCTTTGTCCCTCACAGGCCATACATCTTTACTCCGAGAGTCAGGAGACCTGATATATTGTTAAACTGGTAAGTAAAATCCTGAACCTTAGCCAACATCCTCTTTGTCCTTTTAGAACCAGCAGGGGCAGTAATGACCTCACATGAAAAGACCTTCTAGTTTGGCCAGAACTACTTTTGTTATAAATTGCTGAGTAAGAACATGGCACAGAAAGCCCTCTATAAATGTTAGCTGTGTTGTGTATCCTCATTTTGCAGATGATAAAATGAAGGCTCAGGTAAGGCATTAATTAAAAAAAAAAAAAAAAAGCAAAAGCAAAATACTTCAAAGAATGCTTTTGAGTCACTGTGGCACACAGAATTAGACTATGTAGAAAAATTTTTAGTCAAGATTTTTAAAAAGTGCTGCCTAGCTAAAACAAATCATTACATTTTTTAATCTTAAATGAAGACATAAGGTGAAAGATAAAATCTTCAGCATCTTCTTAATTCAAGACTCACGTGAGGGCTGGCATGGTGGCTCACGCCTATAATCCTAGCACTCTGGGAGGCTGAGGCGGGTGGATTGCTTGAGCTCAGGAGTTCGAGACCAGCCTGAGCAAAAAGCGAGATCCCATCTCTACTAAAAATAGAAAAACTGAGGCAAGAGGATCGCTTGAGCCCGAGTTGGAGGTTGCTGTGAGTTATGATGCCATGGCACTTTACCCAAGGTGGCAACTTGAGACTATATCTCAAAAAAAAACCTCTTGAAAACTGAAGTCCAGAAAGCACTAGAGGTAAATAAATATTTTTAGTCCCACCCCTGGAGTCAATGCTCTTGTTGCAGGTCAGTGAGATTTTTGTGGTTGGCATAAATACCATGGCACCTTCTGTGGTGTCACATGTGCTGGTTTAACAGTGAGAACTGCAGGTCTGGTACCTAAAGGAAGGTCTGGCAGAATTGATGCTAGTTTTTATATTATCCTCTGTGGAATATCTTCTCACTAGCATAGATGTGAGACAGCAATATCCCAGAGGCTTTGTGTAGGACCCAATTTAATAACAATTTATTATATTGTGTGGGAGCCTGGCCTGGATGCAAATGTAAGGAAGGACAGGTTTAAAGAAGAGAGTGAGAGAGAGTGTTGTCAAAGAAAAATTGAACAGTGTGGGTAGAGGAATAAAAGTTAAACTGATAAGGAGCCAGGAGAACTAGGCACATGTATAATTAATCCAAAATACAAGGGGAAATAATTAAGACATCATGAAAGAAATCAGGTCACAAAATCTCAGTTTGGGGGGTTCAAATGGGAAAGCAAAATGTGGTACCCACAGAGGGAGTCCCTCCCTTCTGGAGCACAGCTCTGTAAAAATGCCTGCTGCTTGGGGCCAGGGACCTAGAAAAGGCCTCAAAAGCCTGCTGAGATTGGATCTTACAACGCTCCATCCATTTTCAGAGGAATTTTATTCATTTATTACTTCTTTGATTATTGTATCTTCAGTGATTTGAAAATGGCATTAGGAAATATGCCTACTTTTAGGTAAGAAATGTAGGTAATATTGGGTTTTAGTTTCCTTTTTAGGATGAATAAACAATTTCCAATTTACCCACATGTGCTAGCCAAGTATTGGCTAGACTGTGAATAAAATTGAGAGCTACCTTGATGGAAATTACATTGAGGTCACAAGGTAGATGGTGGGGTATGTAGAGATTATTGTGTCTTCTGATTCATAGTTGTTTTTATTATTACATATCCTTCTAATCTCTTAATTGGATACATAATTCTCAAAACTCCTTAATGGGAAAAGCATTAAAACTATGCGATAAATGAGCAAGAAAGTTGATTTATTTTTTGGTGTTAGCTATGTCACAGGAGGGCTAAATAATCCCTTAGAGATAATGAAGATATTAAGATAAACATGATTCAATTATTTCTTATAGATTATGTTACAATTGGTGTATTTCCAGAATATTAAACAAAGAAAAAAGAGTCTAGGGGCCAGGGACCTACAAAAGGTCCCTTAGTTTATTAACTTAGATGTTTATTGAACAACTTCTACAAACCCAGCTGTGGATATAGTGATAAACTAATAGACATGGCCCCTGGCATCCTAGATTTTCAACTAAAGGTAGTTAAACACTAAAATGTAAAGTTCTTATACTTTGAAAGTTTGCTATTAATCATATTGCTTAAAATACTTAACAAAGAGCACACAATACTTTTATGATAAAAAAAGGAAATAATTAAGTCTGCTGGCTAGTACAAGTCAGTACATGGGAAAATAGTTGTGGTTTGTAAAAGTCTAGAAGACATAATGACAGGATTATTTACAGAATACATCATGACACTGTGTTCTGATTTCATGTCATAACATCATGATTGAAGGCTTCAATGTCAGAGTCAAATTTAGATATACCACTTAGAGATTATGATAATCAGAATCTTCTGCTATTGAATTCCAGACTATTTGAAATACATTTGCTCTCCAATACTGAAATGACAATATGAAGGTAAAGAGTATAAGCTTTATTTTTCTTATTCTTATCTTTTCTAATGAAGTTTAAGAACTTTTCTTAG